TTTTTTTTTTTTTTTATGAAAATGACAGTATATTGTAATTCCACCTGAATCAGACCGACCTAGAAAAGTGGTAGTCACTAGTAAAACAGTTTACAAATAACTTTACATAACATTATTGTATTGAATTATACATTTAAGTAGCCTACTGAGTAATATTCATTAACAGCCTGTACTTACTATAGGGTTAGGGTTTGTTGCATGTAGTTATGCATAATTTACTGTCATTACTACAGTAGATACATGTAATGTGTAACCAGGATGCTATCAAATAAAGGGTTACCCTTCTTTTCTCTCAATGTCCTGTAGATGGCAGTATTGCTTATTTATTTTGTCTCTCTCCCCACAGTCTTCAGTCTCATTTCAGTGAAAGCGGTCGAGCTGCCGGTGGTTTTCGAGGTCTGGTTTCTCTGACTGGTAGTCTGCCCCGTCAGGCCCCGCTGGTTCCCCTCAGCAAACCCCACCTCGGCCTCAGCCAGTCCTCTCTCGTCAGCAGCAGCAGCGGGCCTCTGAAGCGAGAGAAGGACCGGGACGGCCTCGGCTCCATCCGCAGAGGCAGCTTTGTGGAGCGCTTTCAGGAGAGAGCCAAGAGCTCGGACACGGCCGGCCTGGACGCGGGGAGACAGAGTTTAGCTGTGTGCAGTGAGCTCGAAGCGAGGCTCGGTCTCAGAATGCAGTCATCATTCTCTGCCCTGCCAGCGGCATGTTTGTCCACACCTTCATCATCATCATCAGCAGCAGCAGCAGCATCCATGAGAAGACCAGCTTCGGCAGCACCGAGTCCTGCTCCTTCACCGCTCAGTGCAGCCAGATCTCCAAGATCTAACGTCTCGTCTCCAAGACGACCTCTGACCTCTCCGACCAGTGAGAGCCCGTCCAATGAGAATGTACCTGGGCAGGAAAGCCCCGCCTCTTCATCTTCGACCAGCCCCAAACCTCACATGAATGAAACCAGCTTCTGAGAGGGAGAATAAGATTGTATATATATTGAATGTGATTTTTATATATATATATATATATATATATATATATATAATTCACAAAAACTGAATTATTCAAAATTCTGAATTTTGATAAAATATAACATTTACAAAATATATTTATTTTAGAGCAGTATTCTCAGTATCACAGGGTGCCTTATAATACGGAATGTGGAGTTATTATGAGAATATGGTATTTCGCATGTAAACGAGGAAAAAAAAATCACATTCCATGATATTTAAAAAAACAACATGGGTGACATTGTACAAATGAAAAGTTCTTTGTTCTTCATTTTTATTCTGCTGACACTTTTTAGTCATTAAAGTGAAGGCAGATTTGTTTAATCCTAATGTACAAAAGAATGGACTGGCTTTAAAACTGAAGTGTAATTTTATTTTATTTTTTTTAAATGTTAACATACTTCCCAAACTTAATATGCAAAGACTAAAAGTCACTGGAAAGTCGAAACACTGTGTCTATGTTTGTTTGACTCAACCAATCAAGTGAGATTGGGGCGGGACTTTGTGTTTAGCCAGCCAATGGTAGATTAGGGGCGTGTCTAAGCAGCCTGTATGAAAACAGTCATTATTTGATCAGTTGCATTTAGTGATAATAGTGATGCTGCTGGTGCAGAAGTTGCACGTCATCATCTTGGGGCTTTGTTGTCACACAGGCTAATATTCCTGCATGAACATGAAATATGTGTGAATGTTGTTCAGACTGACAGGATGATGTAATTAGTGCTCGACTGCTCATTATTGGGCAATGCTGATACTGATATCTATAGAGCAGGATGGGCTCATGTATATATTACAGTATAATTGTAGCAAATAAGATGTACACAACAGATGAATTTAAATCAATACTTATTTTACATTATACTTAATATTAAATATTTAGAAACAGAAAATGTGCGTTATAAATCGACAAGGCCATTAGTTACTATATTGCCTAATGACAGTAAAAAAAAAAGATAGATAGATCATTATCAGCCTGTCTGATATCGCTGTAAAGAAAACAAATGGTTTATGTCTGTAATAAGTTTACAGGCAGTTCTTCTAAAAAAAAAATATATATATATATATATATATATATATGTGTGTGTGTGTGTGTGTGTAAAAAAATGTAAATTGTATATGTCTATAACTAACAAAACCATGTGTAATGCAGTGTAAATAAGAGCAAGAGATGAAGAGGACATAGTGTATTACAGTCAACACAATGTATATAAATCAGCAAACATTCAACATAATTTCCCCGAACACACACACACGAGTACAGACTGGAGTTCAGTTACGCCTGAGAGGACTGTTGTGTGTAAATGCCTTTGAGATGGTAAATGGGCTGTTACTATAGTAAAAATATGAATTACACCTTAAAGTCCGCTTGAATTTGATTATGTTAGAATATGAAGTATGAAATCACATCATCTCCTTTTTTGTTAAAATATAGTATTTTACACTGTTTATGACAAAGCTTGAAAATTGGGTATCTCTGCCAGATATTGTTATGGTATATTGGTTGTTACATTAACAATATCATCCCTAAATTAATCTGAAACAGTTTTGCCGATGATTATAATGAAGCTGTGAATGCAAAGAACCTTTTTGTTTAATGTGAACCATTTGCTAAGTTATAATTACGCTTTTTTTACTGTATTCCTCCTGTACACTGAATAAAACATTATGAAGTTATTGTGTTTGTAAATGCACTTATTCAGATACCAATATCTAGGAAAAAGCACTAATGCAAATTCCCTAAAATAAAATAAACCATTTTCATATAAATAACGGCAATACATTAGAATAAATGGAAAGGCAACTGCTGGACAAATTGCCAAATCTATATTGACAAACATTTACAGAATAAAAATTTAAATTAATAATACATAATATAATATAAATTAATTTTGTGTTACTGATTATCATATTTACATCTATCAAATAAATCATCATACTAATTTAAGAGGTAATTTAAATGGATATATTATTAATAATTAGTTTTGTATAATAATATATTTTTTTTACATTTTAATTACTTTTGTGTAACTGAATATCAGTAAACCAAACAAAAATAATTATCATTATAATAATTTAAGAGGTCATTTAAATTGATGTATTAATAAATAATATAATATTTAATTATTCATTATTAATAATTAATTTTGTAAAATAATATTATAATATATTTGTGTTTTTATATATAAAATTACATTTTAACATATATTACATTTTTATTATCTACATAATATTATAATAAATTATATAAAAAAATATATACATAGTTATTCTTCTCAGAACACTGAATAAAACTTTCTAAAGTTGTTGTGTTTGTAAATGCACTCATTGAGTTGTCAATACTTGGAAAAAAGCACTCTGGAAAATTCCAAAAAATAATGTATTCTCATATAAATAACAGCAGACAGATGGCATTTGAAATAAATTAGACAATAAATAGAAAGGCATATTGCTCAATAGCGTGACGATGCACTGCAGACTAGTTATGTTGCTGATGCTGATCGCCGGAACTCTTTTGCGTCTTCAAGAGTAACCAACCTCCCAAATCTAGCCTGACAAACATCTACAGAATACAAAATTAAAAACACTGATATATCAGGTAAAACTAAAAAATTGCAACTAAACTATCGCCGACACCATATCAAACGATAATCTCTGTGAACGTCATATAAATCAAATAAATAGTAGTAAAAGGTTGTGCTTCAGTGAGACAGAGAGTGATATTAAAGGGTTAGTTCACCCAAAAATGAAAATTCTGTCATTAATTACTCACCCTCGTGTTGTTCCAAACCCGTAAGACCTTCGTTCATCTTCGGAACACAATTTAAG